CACATCGCACAAGATTGGCCTGCTCTTTTCCCACCTTTCTTCTTCTGAGAGAGTACAGTCTTCCACAAGATAATCTTCGCGAGATCTTGTAAGCATGGTAGCCACTGCTATCTTAGCCTTCTTCTGCATAGTGTTTTATTTTTGTTGTCAGAACTAATAAGGAATAAGAACTAAACATAAAGTCCAGCAGCTGTGATGCTTACTATTAGTGGAATCAAGATATGCAGACAGCATGTAGTAATTTAGTAGGGCAGACTACAAAAAATGTAAAACATATAACATGTGTTGAACACACAATGGGAATTTCATACTTGAGCAATTTGATCCATCTTTTCAATTAGAAACTCCGAAAAGAGTTGTGTCTTCGTAACCACCTCAACTAACTTGCTACACCATGTCTCAGGATCAAAATCAAGTCTTGCAGCTTCCTCCTTCCTGGCTGCTGCTTTCTTCCTCTGCCTTCAGAGACAATTAGTTTGTCCTGTGAAAATCATAAAGTCCAATTGATAAAGCAGATATTTGACAAGTGTGTTGCCTGCATTCACACAGAGGCCAGAGCAAAAATAGTGATGGGAAGAACTCAGGTGCACTTTTTTTTATAGAAAAATCAGTAACATAACAGTTCACTACAGGTCTCCCAACTATTACTTTTCGCATATGCCTTGTTTTTTCTTTCTGAGAATACTCATAGGACCATTTTTCACACTTTAATAGTGTAACCCATCTTTTTTGAGACAAAATCAGTTACAGCTATGATTGGTATGGATTGCATCAGTTAAATTGTTATTTGGACACAGAAAGATGTGCCCACTGAGCAACAAACGTAACAAGCAGAGCAAGTCAGGGAGATGCAAACTTGCAAAGATCTATGCTCCATTACATAAGTTTTGGTCCATACGGTAGTAACTTCCATACAATTGGAGGCAAAATCACATGGTGAATGTACCAATAGTTTATTCATGCAATGATGATTCAAAAACTTTGCATTCAGAATGACCAAATAATGATCTAGACGATATCAATACACCTACAGGGCTGCTAAATCATTACCGATGGGCTGTAGGGCACATTGAAAATGTACAGCCGCAGGGCTTTTCACCTTGTTTCTTCAGAGTTTAAGCTGTAGCCTGAACAAATCTTGACAACGGGTTAGTGGAAGGATCAGGAGCCAAACAAATTGTCAATTTTTTCACACTTGCGTTATTAATCTAATTTCCTAGACATCTAACGAGCAAAGCCTACTTTCCTTGTTATGTATGTAGTGTTTATTATCTAATCTAGATAGAAAAGCATGCCGCAAAAACAAACAATTCCTTGTTCAGGAATGCCAAGAGTAATTGGACACAAAAATTGCACAAAGGATCTTTCGAAAAAATTGATTTTGAGTAAGATGCAAAATCGAGTTGCAACAGCTAGCTGATTAAATGCTAACTTAAAATAATCTTAACTGCCGACATAGAGATAGATTAAGACCTTCAGACCTTTTCCCCTATTTAGTGGTTTCGCTGAACCGGCAGATGGTGGTTGAATCCCCCACAGAGGTTCATGTACGGCGATGACGGCGGGCGAGGGCCGTGCCATGGTGAGGACTGCGCAAGATCCTGGCGGGTGAGGGCGACGACGGCCATGCGTCGAGCGAAACTGTCGGCCGGATGAGGGATGCCGATTCATTCACACCGTGGATGGAGTGACAGGCGGACAAATCGCGGGGGGGCGGATGACGATTCATTTCTTTTCTCCCTCGCGCGTTGGATAGCGGACGTGGGAGCACCGGGCCCAGCTGCCGCGCGTGGATGCGAGGTGATTCGCCGAGTGGGCTTTCATGCAAGGCGAGATGATTTGCCCAGTCAATGATTTCCCCTCCATTGTCAGATGCCCTTCATCTCAGCTTGGAATGTTCAACCTAATGGGGCGAAAAATAGTTATATCTCAATAGTAGTCAATATCTCAACATTAGCTAAATTTACAGAGTGGGGTACACAATGATAATATTCAGAGAACATGAAACTAACAATGGTAGTAAATTTGTTTTGATGACCAGATAGGTAGAGACATTATCCAGTTGATGAAACAAAACAAAAGGAAACAATAGGTGGAAATTTGTTAGGCTTACACAAGTATCGGGAGAAAACACCATAATCCACATGCATATAGACCTGGCTGAAGGGAGCAAAACAGGTGAAGCTGGACTGCAAACCATAATCATCTGCAAAGCACAGAGATATGAGATGCGACATAATATCCATATATGAGATGCGACAACTGCAACAAACTGACTGAAGAATATACTCTGTTTATCAAAATCTACAGGTTCTATTTGGCTAATCCACAACAGACACTTTTTCTCGACTTCCAAATCTTTCAGAGGATGGGAGCTTCTCAAAAATTCTATAACCGTGTTCTTCTATTTGGGCATACCATTCATATCAAAATCAATTTTAAGATTCAACTCTCAAATCTGAAATAAATCCTGCTGGCCTTATCCTCAGTCACTCACTCGATCAGCACAAAAGTTTGGACATCAAATCGTATATTCATCAACACATCAAATTGCCAATGAAGATTTTCTGCCTAGATCTCATCACCGCACAAAAAATCCGCGAAAATCCAAAATCCAATCGATCAACAAAGCAACAAAATAATGATTTCGATGAAGAACGAGTTCTACTGCTTTCTCGGTGCGTCGCAACCTCCACGGATCGGCCGCAGATTGGGAGCCGCCGCTGGGACCGGGAGTTGAGCCACCTCTGGCTGCTACTTCTAGAGAGGGTGGCGGTGCCACAAGTGGATCCGCCTTCGACCAGAAGGCAAGAGAGGCTGGGCACGGGAGACGTCGTCCGCGTGGAGATGGCCGCGCCTTCGCCGGGAGGCACCATCCGCGCGGGGATAATAGACTGCTGACCTGCCGTTGCCGTAGGTGGATCTGCCGAGACGCAAACTCGAGGAAGAGCAGGGGGCTGGGTGGCTGCCGCAGCCGCCGGTGTATGCCGCCATGGCTCCAACCGACTTGAGGAAGAATAGAGGCGGCCTGGAAGGCACCCTTGCCCCGCCTGGTGGCCGACACCCTCGCCCTGGTGGCTTGCCTCGCTCGCGTTGGACTTGCTGGCCTTCTCGGAGCTCCCGCCTACGGCAAGCGCCTCCACCTCAGCCGTGCCGACCCGCCGACAGTGGCGCGAGCGTGGAAGCGCGCGAGGGGAGAGGGCGACAATGGTGAGGGGTGCGAGGTGCGGGGATGGGGAGCGGCACGCGCGGCGGCGGCCCGTGGGATCCAGCAGGGTGTGGGATCAGCGAGGACGACGGCGTCGAGGTGGGGTGGGGATGGATCCATCGTCTTTCCATTTTTAGTGCGACTTGCGCGTGTACGGGAGCCGCGGTATCGCACGGGTAGAGAGACGGACCAAAACAAATCTGGCAAAAAAAAAAAAATATCTTTTTTTTAGTTGTAATTTAGCCTCTAGTACTAGTATCGGGCGATTTGCCTGACGGTGAATGTTAAATGGAATTAGGCTACGATAAAAAAAACCCTTTCCACGAGACTTTGGTATTTCACCTATCATCAAAAATTGGTTTCGTATTTTTATCATCCCGCAAAATAATTTCGCTAGTTTATCATTATGAAACATGTGCAACCCATCGGAATGTCATTTGATGACTTTAGATTAAAAAAGATGAAAAACGAAGTTTTCTTTCACATTTACCCCTTGCTCTTTCCTTCTTCTTTCATGTGAGAGCACACGGACGGACGGAACCGAGGGAGGAGAAACGGATTGAGCGAGCGCTTCTTCTCGAAAGCGGCGCACTTCACTGGCAGCAGCGGCAGCGCCTCCAAAGAACGCCCGCCCGCTTCACTTCAACAACACCGCCACTTCGCCTTCGCCATGCAGAGTCGTGTTCCCACCAACAGGCATGGTGGTCTGCAGCGAGGACCTCGGGTCGGACGGACTACGCCGCTTCGATGGTCATGCCATGGAAGACGATTGCACCGAAAGCGGCGCAAGCGCACGCGCCGACCACCGGAGCCGGGCGGATTCACTCCCACGCACGCGGAGCCGGGCCCGTGCTTGCCGCCATGATTGACAACCTGTCGTCGATGGCCAACGCGATCCCGGTCGGCCCCCAGCCGCATTCACCGCGGCAACGGCGACGCCCCGCGTCTAGGTGACCTCGATCCGAGCTCCTTGCGCAGGCTCGCCCCCCACGCCTCCCCCTCCACTACAAGTAGCTGTCTTGGCTTCCACCGCGCTTGCCAAGGTCACCACCCGCAGCATCCCGCGCAGAAGCGCGCGGGACTCCCACCTCGCCATGGACCAGATCTTTGGTAGGCCTCCTCGAGATCCTGTGTCTCCGACGACTCAAGGAGGCGGCGTTGCCGTGTGCGCGCGTGAAGGCCAAGGTCGACAAGCTCATGGCGGCGACAACCGCCCAGCCAATGGAGTCTCAGATCGGGGACACCAGCTTCCAGGCGCTCAAGAAGTACGGCCGAGACCTCATCGAGGTGGCGGGCAAGCTCGACCAGGGCTGCGGGGGCCATGTCCTCCGCCGGCCAGCGCCCTGCATGGAGCTTAGGCGGGGAACTGCGGGCTCGCCGATCGCGGGGAAAAGAAGACGGCGCGCCAGATCCGCATCAGCTGATTGACTCGCCCACCGCCATGGCCACGTTCGCCAGCTCGGTGGGAGACCGCGGGGAAGACGAAGAGGGGCCAGAGGAGCGCCTCCTCCACACCGTCGGCACCGAAGATGCCATCGCCGAGGAGAAAGCAGGCTAGGGGTAGGAGTGGAAGAAAACTTCGTTTTTAATTTTTTTGAGATCTAAAGTCATCAAATGGTATTTCGACGGGTTACATATGTTTTATAATGGCAAACTAACGAAATTATTTTGCGGAATGATAAAAGTGCGAATCCAGTTTTCGATGGGTGAAATGCCAAAGCCCCCTGGAACCCCTTTCCACCAGGTTCTCCACACCCACGGCCACCAGATTCGCGCCGCGCATCGCGCCGCGTCACTGCGTCCAGGCACCAGCGCCGCCCCGCGCGGAGCCGGAAGCCGCGCCACCGGCTGCGGAGCCGGCAGCCACCTGCGCCGCCCGCCACCCGCACCGCCCCGAGGCCCGAGCCACCACGCCAGCAACTTTGTCGTCGCCGACTGCTGCACCCAGCCACCCGCCAGCCGCCATCAGCAGCGCCGCCCCGGGACACCACGCCACTACGCCGCTGCCGACCATCCCCCAGGCAACAGCCAACAGCACTGTCGCACGCCGTCCTTCTGGCAGCAGCCCCAGCCCCCTCCGCCGTCGTACGGTGCTGCCTCTTTTCTTTTTCTTTTACGATTTCGATTTATTTTCCATGGATTTGTCCTATTCAGATCCTCAATCAATTTGTCATCTTATATTTTTCCTTTCCGCTCTTGTTGATTGATGCGCTCATCTGACTTGATTTCACTCGCCGTGGCATTTGAACTGCGGTTGGGGGCGGCTTTGTTGTTGCAGCACCGGACGTCTAGCGGGAGCAACTCTAGTTTCTGGACCACCAACTCTGGCGCCCCTGTCTTGAAGAACAATTGGGCTCTCAGTCGGTCAGCAAGGTCAGACCATGACCTCTTCCTGCCTCTAATTGCCTCGTCTCTCCATCCTGGTTTCCTTTTCCCCTACACGAATCAGTATGTAGCATATATGTTCTTGATCTGTGCTAGACTTTCTGTGGTGAATTAACTGCTCGCTATTGTGATCCCTGCACCAATATTGCACTATCGAAGCTTGGTTGTAGTAGTGACCTGAGGATTTCTCTTCCAATTCTTTCAAATCTTGCATCTAGATGTGCTTTTGATTGATTTTCAGTGGCTATTTTTGCTGCTCTATATATACAGATTAATTCACCTGTCATATAATTCCGTCAATGAATTTTGCTGCTCTATTTTGCACAAATTTAGACATAACAGAAATTTCCAGTGACTAATTTTTTTTATAGCTGCTCAATTTTGCACTGTGATTCATTGGTTATGGTGTGCTAGCTGTATAGGAAATTTGTTATTATGTCTTTTAGTGTTCTACTATTAGCTGTATAGGAATTTTTATTTTGTTTGACTGAAGCAATTTGTGTTATCTTTAAATTTGTAACAGGTTTCTCACTGTGATCTGGTTGGTTGTTGCTGCTTTATTTGCTATTGTCAGTTGCCCATCTTGCTTCCCCACCCGCTCGTTTCTCCCCCCGCCCTCGCCTCCTCCTGTGGCGACAGCTTCCCTTCCTCAAAACCTTCTAGATGCGGACCGAAGGACCCGGCCGCCAGCCGCAGCATCCGTTGGCGAAGGCGAAGTAGGCAGGCTCGGGTTCTAGGGGTGGCCTTGCTGGCCTGGTATGGACCAGAGGAAGGCCATCTTCCGTGCGAAGCTCCGCGAGACCAAGGAGAAGCAGCAGCGGCGCATTGACCCGGCGCTTGTTAGGTCCTCCACCGACTCTCTCTCGATTATCTTTTTGTGTCCTGCCGCTAAGATCATTCAGTGTCTGGGATGGCTGCCGCACCTGTACAAGGTGTAACCATAGGGCATTTGGACGAACAGCCGGCGCGAATTCTGGCTAGTCATGTGCAAAAACTAGCCTTTCTTTTTGTTGTTTTTCTCTAACCAATTCACACTACCTCCGAATTACAGTATGACTCTTGGTTCGCTGAATTAATGCTTAGCATTATCATGGTTTGGACTCTTACATATTGTTTTTCTCCCCAACGTGATATCTAAATTTTAGTTTGAGTGGATTCCAGTGACCATTTTTTTTGAAATAATGATTCCAGTGACCAGTATCCTGCATCTGTGCATCATTTAGTTATTCCACATATGCTGTCATAGATCTTGAGAGCATAGATGTAAAGACCACAAGTAGTCGCCCTGAGTTTTAACTACAAACTGTGAATGTGTTTCAAATTGCACTCGGACTGCTGAGGATCTTAGTTAAGAAATACTACTATGAACTATGAGACATCAAATTGACATCTTAAAGCTTCATAATCTTGTGCAGGTATAACGAATTTGACCAGCCCACATGCAGAGTATGCAATATTATGCTAAAGTCTGAAGCACTTTGGCCTGCACACCAAGTGTCACGGAAACATCATGAGGTAAGAAAGCCTCGCCTGTGTTAATTGATTTAGGCTTGAGAGTTGGTGTTTTTGGCTGCTTGTTAAAAAAACCACCCAACTGAATATTTTACTGCAGCAATACACAATACATAACTGTGCAATCTTATCCTATATAAAACTAGGGGCTTAAGCGTTTGTGCCCTTGTTTTGAAGCGAAATGGTGATTTTGCCCTCGTTTTTTAAACTTTGTGATTTTACCCCTGCGTTTTCGAACTGAAAGAAGAGTCTTCCCCTACTCCGTGTAGTGTAGTTAACGATGTTAAATTTTGGATGCATGGACAAGATTGCCCATATGATTTCACCCCTATTTTGTTAGAGAACGTTGTGATTTTACCCTTGTTTCAAAATTAAAGTTTTGACATATTTTGTAGGGATGTTGGCAACAAAATTAGACATAAATTTATGGGTTCGATTTAGTATTATAAATCTGGGTAAAGTTTTTCAAAGTTTACAAAATTTGGACACCATATGTATGCTAAAATTCAGACAAACACAATTTATTTGGACATCATATATATCTGCCAAATTTTTTAAAATTCAGCCAAAATTGGACATCTAAAATTTGATGTCATGTTAAATGGACAAATAATAGTTGTGCCAGCCTGCCAGGTGAGCAAAAGAGCAGCACCCGGCGGTTCGTGGCGAGACCGTGAGAGGCTCAAGGGGCATTGCCGGTGGTACGCAGCGCGGCGTGCGGTGGCGGCGCATGAGTGGCCATGGTGTGGGCCCAGTGGCATGGCAGCACGGTCGCAGGCATGGCCCGTTCTCTTCCCTACGTCCGACATAGGACCATGGCCACGGGCGCCACACTAGCTGTAGCAAAGTGTATGACCGAGCCCGAGAGCCATGGTGTTGCCACCTGAGCGACCAAAGCACCGCAACCGCATGATCCGCGCCGCCGCCGTGCCACCCGTTGGTCCTCATGGTGGCACGTGCAGATCTTGTGGATCCTACGTGGGCCTCCTCGACGAGGCAGCGACGCCTGTCGAGGATCGAGGTATACCTAGTTGCTGCAACCCGCGCCCGCGCACTGCTGTCCTTTGTTGTGGGCCGCCAGTACATGCGTCGCCCCAAACAAGCCCCCAACCCAAACCATGGCTAGGCTCGGCTGTTTTGGAAAGAGAGGATTTTTATAGATTGATTTTATTATTGTTGGCAGTGCACCTATATTATAAAGGGCACCTTAGGAGATTGTAATCTTTATCGAAGAAGGAATAAACCTCCTTGGGTATTGGGATGGGGTTTTACCCTTTGACGGTGGCGTCGGGCGTTTCAGCCGCCGACACCGGAGAAGTTCCCACTGCTGAGATTCCTTGCTACCTTCCGCGTTCCAATTCCAAGTCCCATCTACTCTTCTCCTCTACGCTCACTGCATCGCCCACACCGCATCAATTTGGCATCAAAGACCTCCACGAGTGCATCGACCACCATGTCCGGCACTCCTCTCGATCCTGCGGCCATGGATGCGAAACTAGATCGTATCTTGGGCCAGCTCAACACCATCAACAACCGCCTCAATCCCACGACGCCAGGCTCGCGCGCGTGGAGACTGGCAAGCCCGACGCTAGCAAGGGCAGTGGCGGGGACGACCACCACGGCGGCGAGGACGACACCCGCATCGGCGGGGATGACAACCGTGGTGGCAGCGAGGACTATGATGGGCGCGACATCGATCGGGATCGCGCCTGGGCGGAGTTCTGCGACCGCGCCATCCGTGAACGGGACTGCTAGCTGGACTCGCACGGTCGCTATGATCGTCGCGACCATGGGCGCTTCGATCTTGTCTTCTATGGACGCGGCGGCCGCGACTACGACGACCGTGGCGGCCGTGACTATGACGACCGCGGTAGCCGCGACTATGACCGTAGACGGGCGAGATTACGGCCGCGGTGACCGTGAGTGTGACCACAGAGGCCGGGCCTTCGATCGCGGCGGCCGCTTCCGCGGTGCCCTAGACGGTCGCCGAGAGCCCCACCCGCCGCCTCAGATTCCGTTTCCCAACTTCAACGGGGAGTCAGACCCGCTGACTTGGCTCAACAAATGCGACAATTACTTTTGCGGGCATCGCGTTCCAGAGGATGAGAAGGTTTGGATGGCGTCTCTGCATCTCGACGGCACCACTGCGGAGTGGTATTACTAGATGGAGCGTGACTTTGGCATGGTCTCTTGGCCGTGCTTCGTCGATTTCGTCAACCTCCGCTTTGTCGATTTCGTCAACCTCTGCTTCAGGCCATCCATCCGCTCCAATTCCCTCGGGGAGATCAACGGCCATGGTGTTGAGTATTCGTGGCGCTACCTTGCCTTGCTGTCGCATAGTGACAACCTCACCACGCGGACTAAGATTGACCTCTACACCAGTGGCCTAGGTCAGCCACTGGCCTCCGACGTGGAGCTGCAGCACCCCGTCGATCTGCAGTAGGCCATGAGTTTGGCGCGGGCATGGGTCAACCACTGTCAACAGCTCGGTGGCACCTAAGTGTTCTACTCGCTGCGCCACTGCTTCGACCGGCGCCTTTGGCTCCGCTGCCAGTCTGCAGGACGACAAGCAGGAAGGGCCGCGCTCTCGCTTTCGTCGCCTAACGTAGACTGAGATGCAAGAGAAGCGACAGAAAGGGCACTGCTATTTCTGCCCGGAGCCTTATTCCAAGGATCACAAGTGCGCCGCGAAGGGCGTCTTCCTCATGGAGCTTGCGGAGTGCGAGGAAGACCTGCTCGGCGACGATGTCACCAACCTGGAGATATCCTTACATGCTCTCACCGGCCTTGGGCCTGCTAATTCCATGATGCTGTAGGTGGTGATCGGTGGTATTTAGCTCAGGGCTTTGGTTGACACGGGCTCCATGCACAGCTTCATTCACTCGGCGGTGGCTGCTCGTTTGGGGACTGTTGGTCACCGAGCGTGCTAGGCTGTCGGTGATGGTGGCCAACGACAATCGAGTACGCAGCCCCGGCGTATGCCTCGCCACGGACGTACTCATCCACGGCTTACGCTTTTCCGTCGACTGCTTCGCCCTCGACTTAGGTGGGTTCGACCTCATCCTTGGTGTCCAGTGGCTACAGACCTTGGGGCCCATCGTTTGGGACTTCGACGCC